GGAGGGGAAGAGCCAGCAGGGGTACTTATGCTCTGTTATAGCTGCGCCACTCCAGGGGGCGGCCTGACGGGTACCGCTGAGGAAAAAATGCTTCGGGAAACTGTGCACGCGATACGCGTGCACCTCATTCAAATGGACATGAGCAATCACTTGAAGAAGAACTGTTAGCACCTTCAGTGGTAGAGTCCCCACCAGCCTGTATCTCGATGTCCATTAGCATGTGAACTGAATTTGGGGATGTACTGTAATTCCAAGATTTCCCTGTGGATTTGGCTTGAAGAGCTGGCTTGTGTCAAGACTGTCACCTGCAGGTCTGTCAGAGTGTGGTTAGGCAAGCAGAAATATTCTCCAACTGGTTTTTGTGTGTTCCTTTTACATATATCTGATTTATGTCCATTGATTCTTTCCCCCAGATACTGTCCAGTCTGTCCAATATATATAGCAGAGGGCCACTGTTGGCATTCGATGGCATAGATCAAATTACTAGATGTACATTCAAATGACCCTTTGATTTTGTGGCTTATGTTGTTTGCTCCGGTGATGAATTTGTCCGTGTAGACATGTGGGCAGAGTTGGCATCTTTTCTGGTTGCAGGGCTGAGTTACTGGAGGCTTATGATGTGATGGTGTGGCATGGTTATCAGAAAGAATGCGTTTCAGGTTAGGGGGTTGTCTGTAAGCAAGAACAGGTTTTTCTCCTAAGGCTTCTGAGAGTGAGGGATCATTTTCCAAGATGGGTTGTAGATTGCGTATAATGTGTTGGAGGGGTCTGAGTTGTGGACTGTAGGTAACAACAAGAGGAGTTCTGTTATTTTCTCTTTTGGGTCTATCTTGAAGTGGTTCATGTCTGGGTGTTTTTTGGCTCTGTCAATTTGTTTTTTTCACTTCCCCAGGAAGATATTTCAGTTTTATGAATGCTCAGTAAAGATCTTGTAGGTGATTGTCCCTGTCTGTGGGGTAAGAGCAAATCCAATTGTATCGCAGTGCTTGGCTGTGTACAATCAACTGAAAAATGTGTCTGGGATGGAAGCTGGAAGCATGAAGTTAAGTGTAGCGGTCGGTGGGTTTCCGATATAGAGTAGTTAAAATCTGTCCGTTATTTAACCGTACTGTAATGTCCAGGCAGTGGATTTCCCTTGTGGACTGGTCTAGACTGAGGTTGATAGTAGGGTGGAAGTTGTTGAAATCCTTGTGGAGTTCTTCAAGAGTCTCTTTCCTGTGGGTCCATATGATGAAGATGTCATTGATGTAGCGTAAGTAAAGTAGGGCTGTTAGGGGGCGAGAGTTGAGGAAATGTTGTTCAAGGTCAGCCATAAAGATGTTGGCATATTGTGGTGCCATGAGAGTGCCCATGGCTGTGCCGCTGATTTGGAGATTGAAAGTGTTTCTGAATTGGAAGTAGTTGTGGGTGAGGACAAAGTTGCAAAGCTCTGTAATCAGGTGTGCAGTGTTGTTATCAGGGATGGTGTTCTTGATAGCCTGTAATCCGTCTTTGTGTGGAATGTTGGTGTAGAGGGCTTCTACATCCATGGTGGCCAGGATGGTATTTTCAAGAAGATTATTGATGTTTTGCAGTTTCCTCAGGAAGTCAGTGGTGTCGCGGAGGTAGCTAGGAGTGTTGGTAGCACAGGGTCTGAGGAGGGAGTCAATATAGCCAGATAATCCTGTGGTGAGTGTGCCAATGCTGGAGATGATGGGCCGTCCGGGATTACCAGGTTTGTGTATTTTTGGTAGTAGATAGAAAGTAGCTGGTCGCAGATTAGGGGGGGTGTCAGAGTAGCATCAGGGAGTTTCATGCGCAGTTTTTTCATGTTTTTTTAGTATTCCTTAGTAGGGGCACAGGGGAGAGGCCTGTAGAATCTGGTATTGGTGAGTTGTCTGTTTGCCTCTTGATCATAATCTGTCCTGTTCATGATGACTTTGTCAGCTTCTTGGATTATGATGTTAGGATTGGTTTTGAGGCTGTGAATAGCATTGCGTTCTGCGTGGCTGAGGTTGTATGTTTTATGTTGTTGTTTGCTGATAATGTCAGCTCGAGCACGTTTGCGGAAGTAGTCGATGTAGAAATCCAGACTTTCATTACATCCATTGGTGGGGGTCCACATAGAAGCCTTCTTCTTGTGGGATTGTTGGCGGAGGAGGGGGGAGGCAGTGAGGTCAGTATGTTATATATCAGTATGTTGGAAATATTCCTTCAAGCGGAGGCGGCGAAAATAGGATTCCAGATCCCCACAGAACTGAATCATATTTGTGGGGATAGTGGGGCAGAAGGAGAATCCACTGGATAGGACAGATTCTTCTGCTGGGCTGAGAGAATGATTAGATAGGTTGATGATGTTGTTGGGTGAATTGAGAGTGTCTGTTATGAGACATCCTAAGGCATGTAGCAGTTTGGATAGTTTATTGTCCTTTTTCCACAGTACATACACAAATTCAATTCATATGCTAATGGACTCAATCGAGGCTGGTGGGGACTCTACCACTGAAGGTGCTAACAGTTTTCTGAGAGGTATCCTTCCTGTCTCAGCAATCTATCTATTGACTTTGATCTTTATCTGCTTAAGTTTAAGTACCCATTCTCCATATCTTAAAGAAAAAACAGGAAGGAGGGTGGGAGACAGAGCATTATTCTCTTCCCCTCCCCCCTGCCTTTCCCATCTCCTATTTATTTCGAGTTTTCAGATCCCCAACTCATAACTCTGGTCATCTGAGTCTGGCCCACGAAAGCTCATCATCTAATAAACCATCTTGTTAGTCTTTAAAGTGCTACATTGTCCTGCATTTTGTTCCATATACTTAATGATGCCTGTTCCCCACCCCTACCCCCTTCCTCTTTCCTTTCTCTTCCCCTCTCCTATTTATTTCCAGTTTTCTTATCCCCTACTCATACCTTCGGTCATCTGAAGAAGTGGGCTGTGCCCACGAAAGCTCATGATACCATCTATATGTTTTGTTAGTCTATAAAGTGCTACAGACAATGTGTTGGTTTATTTCTGTAACAGGCTAACTCGGTTACCCCCTGAAGCTCTAAGAACTGATATTCCTGAAGATTTAGAATTATATAGCACAGCTCTTGCAGACTTCAGCTACAGCTAATTGTTCAGCACTTCTGCAAGTTAGATAGCAGCGTATCATGTTGGGTGCTCAGAAATGAGAAACACACAATTAATGATTATCTGTGAAAAGACAGGTAGAGGTGACTTGCTCAGCATCACATAGGAATTCTGTGACTGAGGCATGAATTGAATCCAGTTCTCCAGTGCACTGTCAAATGGCCTTTACCATAAGATCACCTTATTTCTTCCTGCAGTTTCCTGCCTCATTCATTAGACAACTTCCAACTTCTGCAAAATTTGAGGTACTGCCCTATAGACAATAGCCTCATTCACTATACAACCCATGAGCTCTCAGTGCCAGTCTCTCTCTTTGGGGCTCTTAATCCAATCCCAGTCTCCCCCTCCCTGTAGCTCCTTAGTCAAGCTTCTTTGCCTAGAGTTAATTCCACCTCCCTTTCTGCAATTCAGCTCCTTATCAGATCTGTTTATCTAACTCCATCCTAATTCCCCCTGGGTTCCAGTCTCCTTGACCAACTACTGCTAGTCTCCCCGTCATCTCTAAGATGTCTCTCTTGAGCAAGTGAGAAATGCAATTTTTCAAAGGCTTAGAACTTGGTCATATATGGGCAGATTTTCACAGGGCTAGCACAAGGTCCATCTCTGATACAATGGCCACTTTTCCAAATATTAAGTCTCTGTTCCAAATCATAGGGATGCTAGAACTTCTCAAAGAAAAGGTTACCAGAATATTTTTAAGATGGGAAAAATATTTTTCCTAACCTTGTTCTCAGAGCTGAATCATTTTAACTGAAGCTCTCCCCTAAAAATACACTTTTAAATGTGAAAGAGATGGTCTCTCTCAAGTGGGTCTCTTCAGTCACAGCCACAGCTACCATAAAGCCAATTAAGATTTTTTTTTTACCTCTCTGGGGTTCATGCCTATGATTTCTTGAGACTGAAGAATGGCTACAATAATGTGAGTATTTTACTATAGCTGTCTTGTATTATATTAATCCTCTACTTACCAATTATATAACTACAAAGGCATCTTTACGTGTTACTAAATATTCTTAACAACTAGGCATTGGCAATCAGAATGCGTACAGAATGAGTAATTGTAATTATCCATACAATGGCTTCACTGAAACATAATAAGAGGAGTTCATCAGTAATACAAATTGAGTATACAGGAAGGGATGCTGTTTACATTACAGCAATAGTTCCTGAAGCTGGCTTTAGAATCACTGGCAAGAAGGTAGCACTTCCCTTTCATTCAGGACAGTGCATGACCACTGACCCACAGAAAAATCAGTTGGGGACCACACACAAGCAAAAAACAAAAACAAAAACCAAATACCCATTACCCACATGCTTTCAGGTAAGAAGCAAAAAAGAAAAAAGAAAAAAAAAAGCCTCAATACTAACTTACTCATCTGCTCCCAGTGCTTCTAAGACAGGAAGCAAAAAACAAAAAAAAACCTCAAGTCACCCGTCACACACACATAACTTGATGAGCCCCTTGCAACAGTGAGAGTCAGCACTGGCACTGCAGCCCTATGAGAGTGTGGCACCAAGGATCAAATTGAGCCAGCGGCTAGATCCAGCTTGTGGGCCATAGGTTACTCGTGCTTTAGGACAAACACCCATCCATATCATAGAAGAGTCAATTCTCAGCTTTTCTGTTTTACTCTCTGGAGTTCATTCTGTGTGATCAAAAAATGGCATAGTAGGTGTGCATGTTTATTGTACTTCAGAAACTCTAGATGATATATGTTCAGGTTGCAGGACAAAGAAAATTAATTTCCTAACAGTCAGACCTACAAACATAACCTTCTTACCAGTATGAAGCTCATCAGGCCCTTACACTAAAGCCCTTGTACGATATTTTACATAAAAAATTATATTCGCATCTATGTGAAAGCAGAAAGCTATTTAGGTACTTTACCATTCTTTCCACCATCTTCGCAATCAGCATCACATTCATCCTGTAAGTCACTTTTTATGGAAAGCTTTCTCTCCACCCATCCTTTTTTCCTTAAACTTCTACGAATTACTGGGTAAGGGCCACAGATGGTAAAAATTTTCTTTTCCTAAGATTTCAAACAAATTCTCATAAACGAAAGCACAGACCCTACAAAAATATTATGTTTTATCATTTGTAAAGTCTACATCCACATTAGTACACTGCCTTTGAAGTTGCAAGCATTGCATTTTGAAAACAAGAGGGGAAACTTAAAATGTATTCATTGGATTTCAGTAGCACCTTCAGCAATGTAGAAGCTGACCACAACTTCACACATACACATAGAGCAACACAGTCTTTCTACTGAAGGCAATCCTGCTGAGTACTCCACAACAGTACAGTAGACTTCCGATAATCTGGCACCTTTAGGAACGGCGCGGCGAGGGGCGAACGCTCTGCCGTTTTGCAGGGTGGCGGAGGAAGCCCCGCACAGCTGCCGGCGACAGGCCAGCTGGGGCTGCAAGCGACAGCGGCGGATTTGGGGAAGTGGCGGAGCAGAGCAGCTGGGGTGCTGCTGCGTTGGTCCCGCAGCGCCACCCCTCACCTTGCCCCCTCTCCTCCGCCGCCACTTGCAGCCCCAGCTGGCCTGTAGTAGGTGGCTGCGTGGGGCTTCCCCCGCCTCCCTGCAAAACAATGGAGGGTTCGCCCCTCGCCGTGCCGTTCCCGTCCCCCCAGGCTGGACGCAGTGTGGTCTCGGCAGACCCGTCACAGGGGTATAATCTCCTTCCCCTCTCCTCCCCTTCCCTTTCCTAGCCTGTGAGTGTACGTGGGGCTCACAGGAGCTCCAATTGTCCGGCTGGCTGAAGCACTTCCGGGTTCCAGTTGGTGCCGGACTATCAGGAGTACCGGACAACCGGATGCCGGACAATTGGGAGTTTTACTGTAGTAAGCAATTTTCCTCCAGTAACAGGTGGCTGGTTAACACAGTGGGAATACATATTAGCTTGTCACTTTGGGAAAGCCACAGATGAAATTTTGTCATATCTACTTAGAGATATAAGATTGATAGGATGTATATACAGAGATGTACTTATAGCACACAATCACAATCTTATCTGGGTGTCAAAAGGATTTCTGTCTATATTCTCTGTCACAGGTTTGTGAACTCCCACAAAATTCAACAGAATTCACTGGCAGTCACTGTTTAATTAAATTCCAATAAACAAAGAGCAAATGTATTGTAGTTCAATGTGAGAAGGATGTGTACTGACAGAGCTCTGGTGAGGAGTAATCTTTGTACAGTGCATACAATGCAATATAGCCCTGTCTAAACTAGGGAGAAGGTATTTGTTAAAATGCCAACAGATTTAAATATCATTTAACAGACAAGGTTTAACAACTTTAAAAACCAGCAGCTTGCACCCAGAGAAAATATCTTTGGGTATGTCTACACTACAGAGTTAATTCGAAATAACAGATGTTATTTCAAATTAACTGTAATAGCTGTCTACACATACAAACCACTATTTCAAAATAAATTCGAAATAGCGGAGCCCTTATTTTGAATTAGGTAAACCTCATTCTACGAGGAATAATGCCAAATTCGAAATAGCTAATTCGAAATAAGTGCTGTGTAGACACTTATTTCGCATTAGGGGGCCTCCAGCCCTTTCCAGTTCCCCCTGGTGGCCACTCTGGGCCAAACCAGGAAAACTCCTCTCCCCCAGCCCCGGGGCCCTTAAAGGGGTAGACTCTGGCCAGATGGCACTTGACGGAGCCAGGCCTGCCAGCAGTCTCTTCTCCTGACCCAGTGGCCCTAGGATGACCAGGCAGCCAGTGCCAGTCAGCTCTCCCCCACCCAGACCCCCAGCACCCAGGGGCCAGCCAGGGGCCATAGACGGCGCGTGCCCTCGTGGACTAGTGCGGAGATCATGGACCTCAGTGAGGTTTGGGGGGAGGCCCCCAACGTACAGGATCTCCGCACGAGGCAGAGGAACGTGGCCATCTACAGCCACATAGTGACCACCATGGCCAGAAAGGGACACAGGCGCACCCAGGAGCAGGTGCACCTGAAAGTTAAGGAGCTGCAGCAGGTGTACGCCAGGGCCACCAGGGGCGGCGCCGCAGCAGGGGCTGCCACCTGCCCCT